ATGGTACAGCCACTTTGGAAGACAGTTTGGTGGTTTCTTACGAAACAAAACATACTCTTACCACACAGTCCAGCATTCATGCTCCCAAGCATTTACTTAGTTGAGCTGAAACTTATGTCCACACAAACACCCACATACAAATGTTTGTAGCAACTTTCACACAACTGCTAACAATTGGGAGCAATCAAGACATAAGGGACTGGATACATAAACTGTGGTACATCCATACAGTGGGATATTATTCATCAATGAAAAGAAAAGAGTTATGAAGCCTCAAAAAGACATGGAGAAATCTTTTTTTTTTTTTTAATATAACGTGTTGTCAGGTTAGCTAACACACAGTGTATACAGTGTGCTCTTGGTTTTGGGGGTAGATTCCCGTGATTCATTGCTTACGTACAACACCCAGTGCTCATCCCAACAAGTGCCCTCCTCAATGCCCATCACCCATTTTCTCCTCTCCCCCACTCCCCATTCACCCTCAATTTGTTCTCTGTATTTAAGAGTCTCTTATGGTTCGCCTCCCTCCCTCTCTGTTTGTAATTTTTTCCCCTTCCCCTTCCCCTCCCCCACAGTCTTCTGTTAAGTTTCTCAAGTTCCACATATGAGTGAAAACATATGATATCTGTTTTTCTCTGACTGAGTTATTTCACTCGGCTTAATACCGTCCAGTTCCATCCACGTTGCTACAAATGGCAGGATTTCATTCTTTCTCGTTGCCAAGGAGTATTCCATCGTATATATAAACCACAGTTTCTTTATCCATTCATCAGTTGATGGACATTTGGGCTCTTTCCATGATCTGGCTATTGTTGAAAGCACTGCTATAAACATTGGGGTACAAGTGCCCCTATGAATCAGCACTCTTGTATCCCTTGGGTAAATTCCTAGTAGTGCTATTGCTGGGTCGCAAAGTAGTTCTATTTTTAATTTTTTGAGGAACCTCCACACCGTTTTCCAGAGTGGCCGCACCATTTTGCATTCCCACCAACAGTGCAAGAGGGTTCCCATTTCCCCACATCCTGGCCAACATCTATTGTTTCCTGAGTTGTTAATTTGGGGCACAGTGGCCCCGTGTGCTGGGTGCCCTCGTGTTGCTCCCTGGTATCTCAATGTAGTTTTGATTTGTATTTCCCTGATGAGTGATGTTGAGCATCTTTTCATATGCTGTTGGCCATCTGGATGTCTTCTTTGGAAAAGCGTCTATTCATGTCTTCTGCCAATTTCTTCACTGGATAATTTGTTTTTCAGTTGTTGAGTTTGGTATTCTTTATAGATACTGACCTTAAGTAAGTATCTTTTGGATACTAACCCTTAATCCGATAAGGACACGGAGGAATCTTAAATGCATATTGCTAAGTGAAAAAATTCAGTCTGAAAGGGCATGTACTATATGATTCCACCTCCATGACATTCTGGAAAAGGCAAAACAATAGAGACAGTAAAAAGATCAGTGGCTCTTAGGGGTTGGAGGTGGGAGATGGGAAGGGACAAGTAGGCAGAGCACAGAGGACTCCCAGGGCAATGAAACTGTTCTGGGGGCGCCTGGCTGGCTCAGTCGGTAAAGCATGCAACTCTTGATGTTGGGGTTGTGAACTGGAGCCCCACACTAGGCGTAGAGTTTACTTGAAAGAAAGAAAGAAAGAAAGAAAGAAAGAAAGAAAGAAAGAGAAGCTATTCTGCATGTTACTACATTGATGGACACACAACATAATACATTTGACAAAAGTCATAGAACTACACAACACCAAGGGGAACCTTGAAGTAAATCATGGACTTTAGTTAATAACAGTGTATCAATTGTAACAAATGTATCACACCTATGCAGCAAATTAGTAAGTAGAGAACTGGGGCAGGGGGCAGAAGACAGGAGGGTGGTGTGGAGTGAGAGAAATTGTTTGATGAAGGGCTTGATGGGAACCCTGTACTTTCCACTCAATTTTTCTGGAAACCTAAACCTTCTTTTAAAAATAGTCTTTTGGGATGCCTGAGTGGTTCCTTCAGTTAAGGGTTGGACTCTTGATTTCAGTTCAGGTCATGATCTCTTGATCATGGGATCGAGCCCCATACCCAGCCTCTGTGCTAACAGCACAGAGCCTGCTTGGGATTCTCTCTCCCTCTCTCTCTCTGCCCTTTCCCCACATCTGCACAAGTGAACACACACGTTCGCTCTCTCTCATGAGCACATTCCTGAAAGGAAACAAAATAACAAAAGGGAAACCTTGCATGCACCAGTGTGATGATAGGGCATGAAATAAAGAGAAGGATCAGCTCCAACCTCCACCTCTGAGGTCACAACACTGAATGACTTACTTCTTACAGATTAGATAGAAATGAGCTCGGAATTTACATCCATTGTTCCTTGTTAAAGTTTCCAACCTTTATCCTACAAACCATCCAAAAAGATTCTTTGTCATCGATTCACATCAATTACATGGTGATTCTCAAAGCCCCTTTCTGTGCGAGCATGAATGTGACCTCAGTGGTCCTTTCTTTAGATGAGACTAGAGTTGGGTGCATTATCCAAAGAACCTGATTTTTTTTTTTTTTTTTTTTTTTTTTTTTTTTTTTTTTTTTTTTTTGCGTATCAGGGACCATGCGGGGGGCTTTACAGAAGCTGTCTCATTTAATGTGCAGAGTGAGAGGTGGGTATTATGATGCCATTTTGCAGAATCGATAACTAAAGGTCAGAGGAATTCAGTTATGTGCTGAAGGTATATAGTTAGTACGGAAGCAATTCCTTATTTTTTTTTTAAGTAGGCTCCACACCCAGTGCAGTGCTTGAACTTACAACCTTGAGGTCAAGAGTCACAGGCTATACCCACTGAGCCAGCCAGGCACCCCAGGAAGCACTGACTTGCAGCCAGGCCTTTGTGCTGTCCACACCACGCCATACTGAAAGGCGTTAGAAGCTGAGAAGGTGCAGTGGTTCATTTTGAGTCCGTGCACTGGGTACCTGTGAAGAACTGGAAGGCTGGGTGTCAGGCATCACCTGTGACAGAGGGAAACCCACTCTGTCTCTTTCCTGGAGGGACAGGCGGGGCCACCTGCCCTGTTTCCCTGGAAGGACTTGCTGGTTTTGTCCCCATCTGTGGCCCCGTGTGCTGGGTTCCCTCGTGTCGCTCCCTGGCTTACTCTAGCAGTGCCCGGGACTCCTCTGTTGTGCCCCCACAACAATTTGGTCACAGTGCCCTCTTTCCACGGCAAACTTCTCAAGGGCAGAGAAAAAATGGGGACTGTCCCTGTACAACCCCAGACAAGCAGCCCACACCACAAAGAGGAGATGTCCTTCTACTATTACGTACTAACGGAACTCAAATGCACCGCTTCTCTCCATCACGTAGTCGGTAGACCTCTGGGTTCGAAGGCAATTTGTTTATACCGGTAAGAAGTCAGGCTGGGAAAAATTAAAAATGATAATTAAAGGCACTGCACGTCACAGCAGTCTCTCTACATGTGATTCACCATAGCATTCCTGGTGAATGTGGGAGGACTGCGCACACGTGATGAGCCAACAGTCTGGGCTGGGCACCAAATGTCCTCGAACCCCACAGCCAAGGGGGGTTTCAAGCATCCCGGGGTTCCTGACAGACACCAAGACGGTGGCAAAGAGCGTGAGCCTTGGAGTCAAGTGTTCCTGCTTCAAACCCAGCTTGGCCTCTAACTGTGGGATCTTAGGCAACCACCTTAAGCTCTTTCAGCCTTACTGTTGTTATCTGCCAAATGGGGCTAACAATACATTCCTCGTAGGATCGCTGTGAGGACTCAGTGTAACTGTAAATGCAAAGTATATAACAGAGTATCTGGAATGCGATCTCAACAGTGTCCACTATTTTTGTTGTTATAATAGTGTATAGATATCTCCAAGGACGGAGGCCTCCTTAGCAGTAACACCAACGTCCCTACAAGGTAGAAAGGAGCGTGATTACCACAGAAATGGGCAGGAAACACAGTGGCTTACCCAGGGTCGCGGCTGAGTACACAAAAGAAAAATCGGTTGCAGTTCATCTTTCTTTCGTGTTGAAATGTTTAACCCATACAGGAAATATTTCTTGTGTGCTGAGTTACCCTAGCATTTTTCCTTGAGAGCGTTTTTATTTTTATTTTTATTATTTTTGGTTTTTTTAATGTTTAGTTTTGAGAGAGAGAGAGAGAGAGAGAGAGAGAGGGAAGAGGAGAGGCAGAGAGAGAGGCAGAAACAGAATCTGAAGCAGGCTCCAGGCTCTGAGCTGTCAGCACAGAGCCTGATGCGGGGCTTGAACCCACAGACCGCAAGATCATGACCTGAGCTGAAGTTGAATGCTCAACCGACTAAGCCGACAGGCCCCTCTTGAAAGCGTTTTTAAAAAGCAATTTAGAATAATATATTCTTAGACTTAGGAGGGCAATGTTGATAGAAGTCATGTAGCCCGACCTTTTTCCAATTTGGGAAATCTTTTTATAAGCATCCCCCTAACCCCACCACTGGCAAAAAGTGAATCAGCTTATGCTCAGATAACAGCCCTGGGGAACTCACAGCGTTGGGAGACAGCCCTTGTTAAGTTACCACCATTGTCCTTATGATCAGCTTTCTTCTGAACACTGTCAGCGTCGACATCAAAAGCCTGCACTCAGTGGGACAAGCCTCTGGGTCTCGTGAGAGCTGAGCCCAGGTTGCTGGTTCTGTTCTTCATCCACAGGACCTAGCACAGGGCCTTGGAACCTAGCAGGCAAGTGAGAGGTTATTTGTTGGATGGATGGATGGATGGATGGATGGATGGATGGAAGAAAGGAAGGAATGCCCTCTCTGGGTGCTATAGAATGAGATCTATATACTTATTCCATTATCGTGCTATGGCTTAGAATCCAAAACATGCAACAATGCACTTTATCTAAATTAAGGATCTGGGGAGATGTGAAGTAAAACAATTATAGAACTGTAACTATTCTAAAACTGAAAAACTATCCCAGGCCCCAGGGTCAGAAATAAACCCTGCTTTAAAGCAAATTGCCCACTGATAATGGCGGTATGAGTAGCAGTCAGACAAAAAAAAAAAAAAAAAATTTAACAAGCCTCATTCCATTTCAAACATTAACACTAACACATGCCTAAGAGATAATTACTAAGAATTGCATTCATTTCGAAATGTCATTTTCTTTTCTTTAACTTGTAACAACCTATAGCCTATCCTCTATTTTGAACTTAATACAATGCCTAAGACCTTAATAGAAATGTATGGAATTCTGAATTGGTCACAAGGACAGACTTTTGACAGAATCTGCTTATACTTGCTGCAAACGTGCACTTGCTCATGGACAACATAGTCTCTTTCTCAAATTAAGTCGTCGGATTTATTAAGTATTGTCTGTAAGAACAAGACTGTTAACAGTGCCCGTATTACGCATAAACGAGTGCATGCACTTTTATTAACAATAAATAAGACAAGTTTCAATTTTATTAGGCCATATCTTGCATCGTTTCTTTTCTCTTCTGCAGAATTTCATTTGCTACACGTGTCCAGTGCCCAATGACTGATTTATTGTTTTCTCCACAGGAGGAGGGGAGAAGCATTAGGTACCTGGCACCCAGCAAACCCCGGGACGGCAGAGTTATCAGTGGAATTCCTCAAAGTGACAAAGGGCTAGATGAGGGGTTCCTTGCTGGTACAACCAGGTCACAAGCCTAAGAAGGCTTGACGGGTGTGGCTGGCTCCCTCCCCAGGGCCTGCTCTGTTTCCGATCTGGGCTTTGCTGGCCGGGGCAGTGCTTCTCCTGGCTCTCTGCAGGACCTCAGGCTCCAGGAATTTGGACCGAGTGGTAGAGACATCGCCGGCAGAGACGGCAGTTGCCAGCTTCCTCCCTGCGCTGTCTTGTGATTCAAAGCAGACTCTGCTCCACTTTTTAAAAAGGGGAGCACGTTAATGCTGGAGACCCACAAGAACAGGATCAAGCAAGGAGACACAACAGTCTGATGCAAGAGTCCGTGAGTAAGCATGGTGAACCATGGCGGGCAGGGATGTGGTCATGGGGAGCCCAGGAGCACAAGGGGTTGACTGCAGAGTGTCCTTGTGGGAGGTTATAGGAGCTGCAAGAACACTGGCACTGGGTCATTTCACAAATGACCCTGGGCTGGGACCTGCCACCTCCCAACACATACGCAGAAAGACACCCCCCACACACACACATATCCCACCCCTATGGTACTAAGCCATCCAAACACTATATGTGGGCTTGGCTGCAGGAAAAGTTAGTGAAGACAGGATGTTTTTCCACCTTGAACCTTTATCTGAAGTAAACACCATTGAGCCCAATGGCCTTATTTGCAAACGTATAGGAAGTGACTCCGGACGAGGCTTCTCTTGCGCCAATCCTGTCTGATACCAAAGTTAGACAACTTAGCAAAACCTGCTGCAGGCTGTACGTGTGGCATAGTCATTGAAAACACCTTGAACTTTCTCTTCGTTGCATTAATTTCCAGCTAATGCTCTGCTTCTTGGAGAGGTGCCTTTCCTTGGTAGGAGTGATATTGGTATAACTCCGCTCTCCATGAAAGTGCTCTTATTTTATGAGAATAGTTCACATCACAAGCATGTGATATTATAGGTATAATTACCTCGTGTATCAATACCTTCATGTGCATTTCTAGCCTTGGTGTTTTATATACCACTCATGGAAGACCAGGGCTTGAGTCATGTGCTTTCCCCACGTGTTTTCTTTTCCTTTTCTTTTTTTTTTTTAATATGGTGAATCAACAACTCCATCACAAGTGCACTCCTTAATCCCCATCTCCAATTTAACCCATCCCCCCACCCATCTCCCCTCTGGTAACCCTCAGTTCTCTATAGTTAAGATGCTGTTTCTTGGTTTGCCTCTCTCTCTCTCTCTCTCTCTCTCTCTCTGTTTTCCTTTGTTTGTTTGTTTGTTTCATGAATTCCACAAAGGAGTGAAATCATATGGTATTTGTCTTTCTCTGACTTATTTCACATAGCATAATACTTTCTAGCTCCATCCACGTCATTGCAAATGGCAAGATTGCATTCTTTTTGATGGCTGAATCACATTCCATTGTGTGGTATTTATGTGTACGTGTGTGTGTGTTTGTATCTGTCACATCTTCTTTATCCATTCATCAATTGATGGACACTTGCCCAGGTGTTTTCTTCAATGGTTCCCTGAGTGCCCTAAACCTCATCCTCTCTGTATTTGAAAGACAGTGACAGCCACCTTGGAAAACTGTTGTAATGATTAACTGAGAAAACACAAAGTCCTTTGTAACATACTGTATATTTTTTTATTTTTGTTGATGATCATTATACATAATAGGTATGGCACAGCTACAAGCTGGCTAAATGCCACGAAATATGAGTCAAGTGTACTTCTTACATGTCTTCTCCAACTCAATGGTTTGCTTCTGACCAGACCAGGACCTTGCCCAAGGTCATATATTTAGTAAGTGACGACAAAGCCTCAGCTCACAGTGTAAGCCTCCGCCCATATTTCTATCTGGACCACAAGCAGTGTAAGATGGGCGGGGGGGGGGGGGGGGGGTGGGCCGGGTTGGTAGGTAGGCGAGGGAGGGAGGTGCTGCGGCACACCTCCTCGACCATCCCGAGTCCTGAACACAGACCAGTTCTCTCAGGGTGGGACTTTCTGCTCACCCTGGTCTCTCTTCAACGCTCACACTGAGGAAGATTCCTGCCTCCATCAAGCGCCTGTTCAGTCCCTGCTTCACACCTGGCTCCGTGGAGGAGACAGGGCGACCTCTGTGAGGACCTGACCTGTCTGAAGAGCCCGAGCTGGAACCGCTCTGCTCCAGGTGCAGTGCCCCTAGAAATGCACGCGTTGTCATTTCTCCTGCTGGCGGTCCGCTTCTCTAAATCACGCAGTTTGGATGTCAAGGGAACACCGCGGCAGCTGGCGAGCACCCTGGAGTTACCCGTCCATGGTTAGGGGCTGCTGTGCCCCTGTTTGCTCTGCTGCTCCCACTCAGGCTGCCTCAGGAGGTGGGGTGTTGATCCAGTGGCTGGTGTGAGACCACACAGTGGGAGAAAGGGTGACCAGCTAAGAAATGCAGCAGGACGGCATTCGACTTAAGCACAGTGCCCCCCATGATGATCTTTGAGTTTCTCTTCTAAACTTAGGTTCCATGCCAATTTTTCTTATATATATTTTTAATGTTTTTATTTATTTTTGAGAGAGAGACAGACAGAGCGCAAGTGGGGGGAGGGGCAGAGAGAGGGAGACATAGAATCCGTAGCAGGCTCCAGGCTCTGAGCCCAACACAGGGCTCGAACTCATGGAGCGTAAGATCATGATCTGAACCAAAGTTGGACGTTTAACCGACTGAGCCATCCAGGGGCCCCTCCATGGCAGTTTTTCCAATTTCATGTCACAAGCCCTTCTGCAGTGCCTACCAGGTGCCAGGAAATGTCCGAAGCACCTTCCAAGTAGTAATTTAATTGTTACGACAACAAAATTGCCATTATGTCTTCTGATGCTCAGAGAAACCACATACAATTGCTAGCCCTGGATATGTGATGGAATTATATCATCATCCCTATTTTATTTTTTTAAGTTTATTTATTTTGACAGAGAGACATAGAGAGCAAGCAGGGGAGGGGCAGAGAGAGAGGGAGAGAGAATCTCAAGCAGGCTCCACACTGTCAGCGAGGAGCCCGACACGGGGCTCAAACCCACAGACTGTGAAATCATGACCTGAGCTGAAACCAAGAGTCAGATGCTTAACCAACTGAACCACCCAGGCTCTCCCATCCCTATTTTATAGATGAGCCAATAGGCACAGAGAGTTTACACGACTTGCCCAAGGTCACATAGCTAGTAAGTTGCAGATTTGGGACTCAAGCTCAGGTTGAGGTCAGCCAGGTTGAGGTCAACCTAGCTTGCACTCAGGGCGTCCGGCTCAAAACCTGGCCTCGGAACCAACCTACCAACTCCATGCGAACACACACACTCACGCACATCGCTTTTCCTTCTCTATCTTAGAATAAGATACCAATAAAAGAGGATGGGCATTAGCCTTGTATAAATCAATATGTTTTAGGAAATCCAAGAACGAATACCAACACAGTGCTGGTGAGAACTTCCTTTGAGCTAGAAGCTCGGGGTGGCAGGTAAAGGTTAATGCTGAAGACGCCAGGTCACAAGGCACCAGTCATGCGTCCAGTTCCCCACGCCCCATCCACATCCCGTCCCCTGCCCAAACAACTCTCGTGACCCTGCTGGCCGGCTTGATTTTTCTCAGCAAGAATATCACAGAAATGCATATATCCCTGGTCTTCTTCTTCAGCCACATGAGATCGGCTGCAGTGCTGATTCAAGAACTCAGTTCTTGAATGATGTGGTTCAAGAACTCAGCATCCAGACAGATAAGGAAAGCTCTGAACGCGAGCAGGTCAGTCTCACAGGAACGATGCACACAGAAAGACACCCTCGTGCAGTGCAGCAAGTGTATTTATGTGACATAAATTAGCACAGGGCAGGGAATGATTTATTCCACTGGCTGAACAGAAAGACGCCCCGGAAGACATGCCATCTGAGCCGGGTCATGAAGAACAAATAGGCGTGTGAAAGAGAGACAGGCGTTTCTGCCTTAAAAGAGAGACTCACAAAAGTCACAACTGGGGGGAAAGTGAGAAATGCAAGTGTGGCTATCCTCCAGAGAAAGGGAACCGATTCCAGTTGATTCTTTGTTGTCAGGTATAGTCAGGGTCCCTGGCTAACCGAATATGATGATTAACAGGGTTTCCATGGACCCCATTCGAGAATTACCAAATGTGAGGAATGCTTAGCAGTCAAACTCTGTGGAACATGATCCCACCATTTTTCTTACTCATAAACTGCTTTGTTATCTTATAGAACCGTGGTTCATTATTATGAACAGGGATGTGCAACTTCCAGAGTTCCAGTTAAGAGAGTACCCCCGTAGTCTGGTTTGACCCAACATAGCTCAGAGAATCATGTGCACTGTTTAAAACAACCCAGCAGTGCCCGCTACCTGCCTAGGTCCAGCCTTCCTTTCAAAAGTCAATACAGACCAGTAAAATGTATAAAAAGCAGGATCCAAAGCAACGCCAGGGTCTTGAGGCATCTTTCCGGTTTAATCAACAGGAAGACCTATCCACATCTGCAGTGGGACACATCAGCACTGTCTTGTTCTCCCTGTGTTTCCAGCCAATACGTGACAACCAGGAGCTTTGCTAGGGTTCCCACCTGCGGGTCAGACAGGCACAGCATGAGACTCAGAACAGACCCCAGGGGTATCTATAAGGATCACCGCACAAGACATAATTTCCTGATGTTCCAAGTTCTAAGGAGTTCTGGTGCTTTCCTAGGTAAATTGATGAGGAACACTTTAAGCTTTCCAACTTTCTTTTTTTTTTTAAATTTTTTTTTTTCAACGTTTATTTATTTTTGGGACAGCGAGAGACAGAGCATGAACGGGGGAGGGGCAGAGAGAGAGGGAGACACAGAATCGGAAACAGGCTCCAGGCTCTGAGCCATCAGCCCAGAGCCTGACGCGGGGCTCGAACTCACGGACCGCAAGATCGTGACCTGGCTGAAGCCGGACGCTTAACCGACTGCGCCACCCAGGCGCCCCAAGCTTTCCAACTTTCTATTAAGCATAAGAATAATGCTAGGAACAGAGGCCTCAGAAATGAAGGTAGCCTGGTTCTTGGGGAAGAGTTCTGTTTGATGATAATATGAATTTCACTTTTACGGTTATTATGGCATTTTATCCTCATAGAAACCACATACATTAATTAATAACCCCAATTTTACAAATGAGACAAGAGGCTAACAGTTTGGCAAGACTCTGCAGGTGGAAGAGACAGGAGTCAGGTCCCAGATTCTCTGACCCCAAATCCCATGTTCTTTCCAAAATTCCTTCATCCTACTCTAAGTCACTGAGCAGAAGCATAAAGGTATAAGGACATTGTCTTTTCTATTTTTCATCAGAGATATCCTCATTATTCCCGCAGCTCAACCAAACCCTCTGACATCATCCTCAACTTAGGCCTCTTGTAATTCTCAGGCAAGTAAAACATTAGCGTCGCTGTTTGTAGTTTGAGAATTTTATAGTCATGAACTTTACAAAGTCAGATTCAGTGTCACGTTCAGGAAGCTCAGTTCAACACATTGATTCAAAAGGAAGGCGCTCTCCACACTGGGCTCACAAATGAGTTAGAAGGCTCAGCCGCAGCAAGAGAAATTCATGAGAAAACATCATGTCTTCTTCTAGCACTTTCCTCCCACTCTGTGCGCATCCCAGGGACCTTCTCCTCAACCTTCCACACCGCCCTCATCACAGTGCTGATGGAGTGCAGCACCCAAGGGTTTTCTTCTTTCTGCTTCCTTTCTTCCCAGACCCTTGTAAGATCTACCTGACCAGCCCTCCAGCAAGAAAGACGCTCTCTGGCGGGGCAGGGAGAGGAATTAAGCCAGCGGTGACAGGTTCCTCTTTCCAAGGCTGCTGGGGAGGAACAGTCTGTAGCCTGTCATCCCTCAAAGAACAGCTGGTCCCCTGGCCCAGATTGGGTGAGAGGGCAGAAGGGAGGTCACGCTACACTATGGACCGGTGAAATATCTCACTTCGTTCCTGCAAGATGGTCAACATTTTACAGAGACATGATTCTATAAATACATATGACCTTCCTCAGTAGAGGAAAACCTGACAAGAAGTATTATTTTCATCCATTTCTTTGCTCATTAAAATAAAAGCAAAGGAGTCAGGCTGCAAATCATGAGATATACAACCCGAGTCTGTTTTTTACAGTCGTGGATTCTAAGAAGCAGCTTTGGTAGTGAAAGTTTTCTGGGCAAGTGAAATCTGTCCACAGCTGTGGGCTGCAGCCCGGTGGCTGGGCGCCCCGGCCAGGGTGTATTGGGGGCATCTGTGCCCCTTCAGAGAAGTTTTGCCAGGCAACTTGGGGCTCTGCTGCTGTCCCCTGAGCGGGCCTCTGAGACATGAAGGGTGTTGGAGTGGATGGGCCCCAAGCCAGGTCAGAGATCCATTCCAACAGGTGCCCTGGGCGAGGGACAGGACAGTGCAGGAAGAAGGGACAAAGTGTGGGGGTAGATTTGTGGATAACCACAGAGCTGTGCCTAAGAGGAAGGAGAGGCAAGGGGGAGCAGGGAAGGGCCATGTTCCAGAGGCAGCCTGCACAGGAAGGGGACCTGACTGCTGGAAATGCCCGGCTTCCATGTGTCAGGAGAAAGAAGCTTGGGATGCTCAGCTGTGCCCTGACTCACCAGTGGGCGAGAGGCCCTGCTCCAGCTCCAGATTTCCTCCTAGGGGAGAATAAAAGCCACAGATCGTAAATACTATCTTGAAAAAGAAGTCCACTATTGATTATGGAGAGAAGGAAGAAATCTCCTGTGTAAGTAGTAAATGTAAGTCCAGCCAACCCCTGCCCCAAGAAGGTGGAAACTATTGACTCTCTCAGATGCTTATTATTTCCTCAACATTCTTCTAGGTTCTTGGTGACATTAATAGCACAAGCTGTCCGCTGGGTCTCAGGGAGCAGGGGGATGGGAGGCGCTCTTACCTTTCCTCTGTGTTCCTCGAATCGATAGCATAGTTCTGAAAAAGGCCACATCTGAATGTCCCTCAGGCTTATGACATGCAGTTGTGGGAACGGATCTAAGGCCCTGAACAAGATACAGTGACAATTGGTCTGTCACTGTTATTTATGACATTCCCCATAAATCGATTGACTTCTTAAATATTTGAAGCCCCCTCACCCGGCACACCAGACCCGCAGTTTTGCCAGCTCTCTGTATTCTAGTGCCCTCAACATCTCTGTCTCAAGAAGTTAAGGAGGAATAGCCTCTGGGATATTGGTGGTATTTTTCTATTTGACTTCATCACAGCCTGATTTCTTTCTGATCTTGCATGGCTTCTTCCCCCCACCTCTCAGCTCTTAATCTATGATTCGGGATAATTCCTGAGCAATTGAGTTCTGATTTATCCAAATTGGCTGTAACTGGTAGATGAGCCTTGTGAAACAAGAGTGGTACCTGCCGGGGCCCCATTTCAGTGCAATGTGCAAAGAGAGACAGGGCGAACTCCTTACTTACGCTCACCGCTGTCAATTTATCCCAACACCTTTTTCACAGACCAGAGGGTGAAACAGTTCTTACACACTGTTTACGCCACCCTGCCCAACTCCGGACGAGGCACTAAAATGGAGCTGGCCTGCACTCTTTTCGTGCAAGCAGGAACGCCCCTCTCCCCCTGCTTTGTGGAACAGATCTCCCAGTGGGCCAACAGCAGCCTGGAGCCAGCCAACCTCAGGGAACCCAAGAGCACCAGCATCGGGGTCAACGAATGGGCCTCCAGGCAGATGGCAGGTAAAAGAAACCATCCAGTTTAGTGAGGCTGATTTCAGAGCGCTATAAACACAGATACCAAGCATTGCTGGTCAGAAGCCACATGGGTGGAGACTCAGGCCACCCTCGATTGCAACAGAAGTCTGTCTTCTTGGGAGACCCTACCCTTAAGTGCGGTGCTCTATGAAGCAAGCAAAGCTGAACTTTGGCCCCCTCTGCCCATCCCCCACCCACCCACACAGCAGGGGGCTCTTCAGAGCCTCCCACCTCCAGGGGAGCCCTGAAGGCTTTGTTCTGTGCACCTGTTCCCCTCAGGGGAATCCCCCCCACCGAGCTCTGCTGTCACCTACAATTAACACCCTGCGACAGCAAAATGCAGTGGGAGCCAGAAAACTTCTTGGAATTTAGCTTCAGGAAATGATTCAAGGGAAGAAAAAGTTATATATAATAAGATGCTTAGCCCAGGGTTAGGGTTACCGAAGAAAAAGACTTAGAAATAACTTAACCCCCCAGCCATTAGGAATGATCCCATTAATTACAATTAATTACAGCTCCCGCATATCATGTAGTTGTAATTATTAAAGGTGGTGAAAATCTATTACACTCACTGGGGTTCCATTTATTGACTTATAGCGTTTTTCCTAAGTGCTCTGTGTTCATTATATCTGTTCACCCTCACAGTTGTCCTAGGAGATAGGTGCTGTTACTAGTGACTTGTTCACAGATAGAGGAACTGAGGCACGGAGAGCTACGCCTGCTGCCCGGGGCCCAGGATCCCTTAGAGCCAGGATCCTAAGTCAGCCGGTCTGCCTCTGGCATCCCTGAACATTACAAAGGCTACACAGAAACAGGGAGAATGTTTAAGACCCAGTGTTGTTTAAAACACAGAATAGAAGGTGATGTGTACTTTATGACTGAACTGAGAACAACATGTGGGTGGCCAAGGAGCACAGAGCTGCAGCGCAAATATGAAGATGTTCATTGATAGCTCAGTTGTCTCCAGCGTTTCATAATGTCTTCCCAGTTTACTTAAAAAATGTTTAATTCCCTGTCTCGGCTCTTTGTGCTGCTGGGGTAGGGGCGTGGGGAGGGGGGGCGGTTAGGCAAAGCCACACAGTTAGCTGCCGTCAACCCTCTGGGGTGAGTGTCCTCCACAGAAGAGGGGCAGCCAGGAAGAGCCTGAAGCTCTGGGGCCAGGCTGCTTGGGTTCAAACCCAAGGTTTCTGTCTTGAGCAGCCGGGCGGATGGTGGCTTTGCCACTCACAAGTGTGTGACCTGGGACAGCTTCTCCAAGCCTTGGTGCCCCAATCTGTAAAATTAGGAATAACAACAGAACTGGTCAGAGGAGTCAGTGAGGGTTTGTTCAAGCATTTAGAACAGAGCCTGGCACAATGTGTGTTTTTATTAATAAAGGGCTGGGGCAGTAGTCAGCCTGCCCTCTTCTCTCTGGTAATGCGTGGAATCTCAAGAGCATGCCCTGGATGTTGCTGTCTAAGCAAAGGCTCGGTCAGGGATGAGGCCCAGCAGCTGGGGTAGCGGGATTTGCAGGAAGGGTGGGAGGGACACAGCGCAGTGGCCCCCACCACAGCGCCCTGTGCCTCCCAGGAGTCCACCTGAGCAGTGCGTGTCTAACAGCCCTAGGAAATAGCCGCTTCAGACAACCTGCTCAGAAAAGGATAAAAGCACGGTCTTCAACGACAGCTAGTTATAGACACCACGGTTCTGCAGGTGCAAACCCACCCTCGGGGATGCCCCAGCACCCTCCAGGGCAGGTGCACGGGTCTCAGCCGCACGATGGCTCTCCTGCTTGCAGGTGACAACCCGGGTGGCCTGACATGGGAGCGCGGTGGCGGTGCATTTCCCCAGCTGGCACTTGTGAGCACCATGTCCTTCCAGAGCACTTGGCGGCAGAGATTCTCCTCCAGGGACACTCAGCTCCTGCCTTTCACCTGTGCCCCGGGCCTCGTCCTCCAAGTCCCCATGATGTACCAAATGGCCGAGGTCAACTACGGTGAGCTCCTTCCCACCTGTGGGCCCTCTTAAGTGACGGGAACAAGGGAACAATGTGGGCGGAGAGAGGGGGGCCACGTCTGCTCTAGAAGGACCCGCGGAGTGTCTCAGCCTTCCCTCTGCAGTGAGATGTGTGTGCAGTAAGGAGAGCCCCAGGGGCCCGAGGACCCAGAGAGGAGGGTGAGGAAGCAGAGGGGGAAGAGAAATCCAATCTCACGCTTGACATTTCCCTCTGCACCTAGTAAGAGGTGTTAGTGTAAAACCAAAACTGTTTGAATGGAACCACCCCACCCTCGGCAGGCAACCGCATAAAATGAATAGCCACTTGGTGCTAAGAAAGGGCAAAAGATGGAGAGTTCAGTTTAGATGGCTCTCGAGAGGGCGCCCACGCGGGCTTGACATTGTCCTTCTGCCTTGCCTGGATGGTTGCTCATCCCGGCCCCTTGAGGGTGCAGGTGCCCTGAGTGCGGGCCAGCGAGCACCAGGGGAGAGGGGGCCCAGCCCCGAAGGCTGGCTCCAGGTGTGGACACTGCCGTGGGGCCCCCACAAGGCAAGGGGAGAAGGGACCCGGCCACCTGTCCCCACACACCTCTCTCACAGCCCTTGTTTGCAGGCTCAGCCTTTCCAGCTGTGGGATTAATTCTGTTCTCATGCAGGGAAAAGTCGCTGAGACTTAAAACAGTGTTTCGGGAACTCTGGCACTTAGAAAACTCACAACCTTCCTGCTTCAATTTCATGCAGGACATGTTGTGAGTGCTTTTATTCGTTTGTTTATCCTGCCAGTAACTATTAACTGAGGTCAAGTAAGGGGAGCATAGAGGAAGGTCAATTGGATATGTAAATATATATTTATGACTATTATAGTTCTTGTGCCTAATGTTTTCCTGTCGCTGCTATGACTCATGCTGGTTGATCTGTCAGCTGCGTAACACTTCCCAATTTTATATGATATCTGGGTTCAGAGCTTTTGTTGAAAGAAAGATCTGGCTCAAAGAGCCTGGGTCCCCACATGGTCACAAAAGGCCAGGATTGGAATGGCTTCCCCTTTAAGACAGTAGATGGCTCTCCCACGTGCCATCATCCCCACTGTGTCCAGCCGATGCAAGCCCTGTGAAGGTATCATTAGAAATTCTAGGTCCTGGGGCGCCTGGGTGGCTCAGTCTGTAAAGCGGCCGACTTCGGCTCAGGTCATGATCTCGCGGTCCGTGAGTTCGAGCCCCGCGTCGGGCTCTGTGCTGACAGCTCAGAGCCTGGAGCCTGTTTCGGATTCTGTGTCTCCCTCTCTCTCTGACCCTCCCCCATTCATGCTCTGTCTCTCTCTGTCTCAAAAATAAATAAACGTTAAAAAAAAAAAAGAGTTTAAAAAAAAAAAAAAAGAAATTCTAGGTCCTAAGATCAGAAAAGGTGACTAACAGTCTTTGGCCTCGAACTGCTTCCTGAAGGTGAGGTAGACAGCCTGTTAATAAAACGTACGGTTCCCAGTTCTGTGAGCTGGCCCTTCCCAGGGTCTGGCACTGTTTAGTTCCCTGTCTCCTGGGACAGAACTAATAATGCCCCATCCACTGAACCCCCAGGCCAGTTCCAGGACCCTGCAGGCCATCAGGTGGGGGTGCTGGAGCTGCCTTACCTGGGAAACACAGTGAGTCTGCTCTTGGTTCTGCCGCGTGACAAAGACACCCCGCTGAGCCACGTTGAGCCACACCTCACAGCCAGCATCATCCACATCTGGACCTCCAGCCTCAGGCGGGCCAGAATGGACGTGTTCCTGCCCAGGTAAGTGGCTGCGTCATCCTTCCGGGGTGCTCTGCGGCCTAATCCTGTTGGCCAGGCCTGGATCAGAGAACCCAGGTGGTCGGACTCTGGGGTCTGTCCTTAACCACTGGGCCAACTTGTCTAATGTGCCCTGAGAGGTTAGGCCAAGGGGGAGTTACCCTAGAGTGTGGGTCCAGGTCAGAGTCTCTGCTGACTAGTTCATGATGCAGACGGAACAGAGTTAATTTCCTGGGTCTTCTCAAGAGAAGATATTCTGTGTTCACTGGGCCAGACTGCAGGCTCCAGGCCTCATGCCACAACCAGTTCTCTGAACAGGGAAAGAAAAGCCATGAAGTTACCTTGGAGGAATGTGCCCCAAATCTTATCACATCCTAAGAGTATACAACTGTCATTTTTCCAAAACCAAAGAGGCAAGGTAGTTTATGTAATTGAGCAAATAACCAAGATAATTCTGACTGGAAGGCAAATTAAAGCATAAAAATTCAAGACTTTTAGTCTCTATGCTGAAGGTTCTCATTCTTTGTAAATAGACGTGAGCCATTCTTTGAGAAAATCCAATAGGTGCAAATGCAAATTGTCAAAAAGTTAAATGATGGTTCTAGATTTTGCTTTTCCAAAGCAAAACCTACTTGCAAAACTCATTACTTTACAAAGAATTCCTTTTTGAACTTCTTTAAGTGACAAGCTTCTCTGGCACATTTGAAACCAGAGTAAACCTGTAATTAATTTGTAGACCAGCATTAAGTGAGAAATGTTATCCCAGGGCTCAGTATGTGGATTCTTCATGCTCCTTCCTGCTGGCTGCCACCACCTGCTCTGTTGACCAGGCCCTCAGCAGCACTGAGCCAGAGGCCTTGGCAGAGCTCTTTTGAGCAGTTAAAAATAAGTCCAGACACTGAAATAAAAACACACAAGGAGAGACCCAGTGAGTTAAGGGCCAAGGTCTAGAGTGGGATCTGGCATAACCAGAAGGTGAGCGTAACTCTATGATAAAGTTTATGTCTCTCCAAACCAAATGCTTGGACCTCAAATGAAGGCACAAAGACAAGAAATTTCAACAGATCTCTCTGGCATGGAAAAGAAGCAACCTTCATCTTTCTGTCATATTTGAGAGAAGCTCAGCGAAGGAAGAGAAGCTTTCAATGTCAAAAGTAGGGAGACAGTGCGACCTGGTGCAGGAAATTTGTCGGAATCTTTTCAGAATTAGGAGACAGATGGCTGGCCTCATCCTGGAGCAGCTGCTGTAAGGAAGAGTCCCCAGGAAAGTGCCCAGCTCGTTTGCGAGTCCTCCGCTGTCTCTGATGCCACCTGTAGAGCTCGCAGCGTTGAGGAATGATGCCGAAAGACCCAGAAGACGGGGATGGGATGGGAAGGCCAAGATCATAGTAACACAGCATCAGTTAACACTTGTTAAAAAAATGTTTGGTTACCATAATTTATCTCCCTAATGCTATCAAGCCTGACATCCAAGAAGGATAGAAGGTATTAGGAAAATGAGGCTGTTTCACAAAGCCAAACTCACCAAGCAAAGAAACCAGCTTCAAAATCCTTTAAGGAATAAATAGAGAAAGAATTTCAACTATCTTGGGTCTAAATCTGGGTACATAACTTTGGACCGTGGTCGACCAGGTCAACTTTTGGGCAAGAATTTACCTCTAGTTCTGCAAATCATTCATTCCTCATTTAATATGATCTGCTTTATAGTTACCCTGCATTTTTCATTTAGCAAGAGCAAACACTTTTGCACACTGTGGGTAGCGGTGCAAATATCGTGTGGCGGTGAGGTGAGCCTTAGGATTAAGCTTCACCAACGGTGTATCCATAGATTCTGGATGAATTATGATATCTAGCTTCTGAGGTAATATTTTATTTATGAAGAAGTGAAATAAAATGTATGGGGACAATTAGTCTTCATTAGGGACCTTAGCATACCAAAAGAATAATCAAGAAAGCCAACAATGAGTGTTAACAAGCGTCATTTATATCCATAATAATGTAATGCCTCACAAGAAAGACTAATAATGTCAAATATATATTTGTTTAATGAATAAAATGCTTGGTTATTAGATCAACATAGTAGGATGCTAAGCATGAGCATTTTTTTCTCATAATAGAAGTGATGTATTTTTTTATTGAAGTATAACTAATGTATAGTGTTATATTAGTTTCGGGTGTACAGTATAACAAATCAGCAATTCTCTACATTTACTCAGTGCTCATTGTAAGTGTACTTTTAATCCCCTTTATCTATTTCACCCATCCCCCCCCCCCCTTCCCCTCTGGCAACTGCCAGCGTGTTCTCTGTACTTCAGAGTCTGGTTTTTGTGTGTGTCTCTTTTTCTCCTTGTTTGTTTGTTTATAAATATCTTAAAAATCCATCAGATCTCATATATTCAGAAGTTTTGGGCTTCCTTTCCAAGAGCTACTGATCATCGTCATGTGTGGATTGTGCTTTTCTATGGGTATTTTCTTTTTTTTTTAAATGAAGGTACAATTCACATAACCATAAAATTGTTTTAAAGTGTACAGTTCAGAGGTTTTTAGTATATTGGCAAAGTTGTGCAACCATCACGACTATCAAATTCCAGAACATTTTCATCACCTCAAAAAGAAACTCCATACCCATTAGCAGTCACTCCACATTCCTTCTCCTCACTACTCCTAGGCAACCACTAATCTACTTTCTCTCAGTGGATTTGTCTATACTACTCTACCTTTCACATAAATGAAATCATACCGCATGTAGCCCTTCTGTGTCTAGCTGTTCTCACTTAGCACGATGTCATCAAGGTCCGTCCTTATCAGAGTATGTATCAATACTTCATTCTTTTTTATGGCTGAATAATTTTCCATTGTATGAATATACTACATTCTACTTATCCATTAATCAGTTTATAGACATTTAAGAGCCTGGAAACTTTTTGCTTGTTTTCACTTTTTGGGTCCTATAAAATTTTCATGTGCACACTTTTTTATGATATATATTTTCAATGATCTTGGTTATATACCTAGGAATGAAAATCCTGGGTCATGTGTTAACTCTACACTTTACATTTTGAGGACCTACCAGACAGTTTTCCAAGGGGCTGCACCATTTTACATTCCCACCAGCAATCCAAGAGGTTCCAGTTTCTCCATACCCTTGTCAACACTTGTTATTGTCCATTTTTTTTCATAAGTCCCTCTTCATGGTTAATGGTACAGACTTTCAGTTTGGCGCGATGAAAAAGTTCCAGAATGGTGGAAAGATAACAGTGGTGGTTGGACAGCAATGTGGATATTCTTAAGGCCATTGAATTATGCACTTAAAATGGTTATGTTGTGTATATTTTACTATAATCTTGTTTTGAATTGTGGAGTGAAAGAAGGTGGGGAGAAGACAAAGACTGGCTTCCCAAATTTGGGTTAAAAAGTAGCGTTGTTATAAAGCTTACATTTAGGAAGTATATAGTTATTCTTAGTTACATTACCTGGGAAGACATCGCCTCCTCTGCCCTCCAGCAATGCCATCCTCTGTGTTTTGGCTTCTCGGTCAGGCTGGAGGCAAGATGGATGCAACCTATCTGACCCCACAACAGTAGCAACAACCACAGGAGAAGAAAACCCCCATCTTTTTTATTGTAGCCATCCTAGTTGGTGTGAGGTGGTTTCTCATTGTGACTTCCATTTGCATTTCTCTAATGACCGATGACGTCAAGCATATTGTCATGTGCTTGTTGAACATTTACATATCTCTTTTGAAGAAATATCATTTGAATCTTTTCTCCATTTTTAAATAGGTTGTCTTTTTATTGTTGAGTTGTCATGGTGCTTTATATATCTGGTTATTAGTCCTTTATCAGATATATAATTTGCAAATATTTTCTCCCATTTCATGGATCGTCTTTTTACTTTATTGAGGATGTCCTTTGTTTTTATTTTTTCAATATATGAAGTTTATTGTCAAATTGGTTTCCATACAACACCCAGTACTTATCCCAAAAGGTGCCCTCCTCAAGACCCATCACCCACCCTCCCTTCCCTTCCACCCCCCATCAACCCTCAGTTTGTTCTCAGTTTTTAAGAGTCTCTTATGCTTTGGCTCTCTTCCACTATAACCATTGAGGATGTCCTTTGAAGTACAAAAGCTTTTAATTTTAATGAAGTTCAGTTAATTTATTTTTTCTTTTGTTTCTTATGCTTCTTTTAATGTCGTATCTAAGAAACCATTGTTTAACCAAGATCACAAAGATCTATGTCTGTGTTTTTTCTAGCAATTTTATAGTCTTAGCTCTTATATTTAGGTCTCTGACTCATTTTGAATTAATTTTTGTATGTATAATGAGGCAGAGGTCCAATTTCATTCTTTGCATGTGGTTATCCAGTTGTCCCAGCATGATTTTTTTTCTTCCAAGATTTTATTTAAATTCAAGTTAGTTAACGTGTAGTGTAGTATTGGTTTCAGGAGGAGAATTTAGTGATTCATCACTTACATATAATACCCAAAGTTCATCCCAACAAGTGCTCTCCTTATTGTGTATCACCCCATTTAGCCCATCCCCCCAACCACCTCCCCTCCAGGAACCCTCACTTTGTTCTCTAAGAGTCTCTTATAGTTTGCCTCTCTCTCTGTTTTTATCTTATTTTATTTTTCCTTCCCTTCCCCTAATGTCATGTTTTGTTTTTTAAATTCCACATATGAGTGAAATCATATGGTATTTGCCTTTCTTTGACTGACTTATTTCACTTAGTGTAATACACTCTAATTCCATCCCCATCATTGCAAATGGCAAGATTTCATTCTTTTTGATGGCTGAGTAATATTCCAGTGTGTGTGTGTGTGTGTGTGTGTGTGTGTGTGTGTGTGTATGGGTATAAACCATAATATTCTTTATCCATTCATCAGTCGATGGACATTTGGGCTCTCTCCATAGTTTGGCTGTTGTTGATAATGCTGCTATAAACATCAGGGGGCATATACCCCTTTGAATCTGTATTATTGTATCCTTTGGGTAAATACCTAGAAGGGCAATTGCTGTGTCCCAGCACCATTTATTGAAACGACTATTCGTTTTTCCATTGAATTTTCTTGGTACCTTTCTTGAAATTCATTGACCATAAATGAATGGGTTTATTTTTAGACTTTCAATTCTATTCTATAGGCATAAATGTCTACAATTTACTCAGTATTATTCAGTCTTGATTACTATAATGTTTAGAAATCAGGATATGTTAGTGCTTCAACTTTGTTCTTCTTTTTTCAAGAATTATTTGGCTATTCTGGGTTCCATACATTTTCATAGGAATTTTAGGATCAGGTTATCAGTTTTGGCCAAAAAGGCAGCTGAACTTTTGATGATGATTATATTTACTCTGTAGATCAGTTTGGGAATATTGCTTTCTGACAATATTAGCTGTTGCAATCTGTACACGGGATGTTTTTCACTTTATTGATGTTTTCTTCAGTTTCTTTCAATTATGTTTTTTAGCTTTTAGTTTTCAGTATACAAGTTTTGCATTTCTTTTGTTAAAACCCTAAGTATTTTATTCCTTTTGATGCTGTTATCAATGGGATTTTATTTTCAGACTGTTCATTGCTAATATAAAAAAAGCCATTGACTTTTTGTACCTTAATCTCACATCCTGTCACCTTGGCAAAATCATTTATTAGTTCTAGTAGTTTTTCCTCTGCGTGTATATATTCCTTAAGATTTTCTATATACAAGACCAAGTCATCTGTGAATAGAGATAGGTTTACTTCTTCCTTTCTAATCTGGACGCATTTTATTTCTTTTTCTGGCATAATTGCCCTGCACACCTATCATTACGATGTTAAATAAAAGTGGTGAACATCCTGGTCTGATTCCTGATCTTAGGAGGAAAGCGTTCAGTCTTTTACCATTACCATTCAGTATGATGCAAGCTGTGGGTTTTCTGTGGAGACCCTTTTTAAGGTTGAAAAAGTTCTCTTATATCCCAAGTTTACTGAGTGATTTTTGTTTTCATGACAGAGTGTTGGCTTTTTTTACACGCTTTTCTGCATTTAATGAGATGATCATGTGACCTTTGTCCTTTATTCTGTTAATACGGTGTTTGACATTGATTTTCATATGTTAAACCCACCTTGCATTCCTGGGATAAATCTCACTTGGTCATGATGGGATTTATATATTGCTGGATTCAATTTGCTAGTATTTGTTGAGGATTTTGCATCTTTATTCATAAGGGATATTTGTCTAGTTTTCTTTTCTCATGATATCATTGTCTGGTTTTGGTAAAGGGCAATTTTTCCACTCAAGATATTTTTGAAACATTTCTTCTGGGCTGGCCTTCATAGCCATATAAGAAAAAAATTGGGTGCCTGGGTGACTCATTTGGTTGGGCGTCTGACTCTTGATTTTGGCTCAGGTCATGATCTCACGGTTCATGAGTTCAAGCCCCATGTGGGGCTCTGAGCTGACAGCACAGATAATGCTTGGGATTCTCTCTCTCCCTGTCTCTCTGCCCCTCCCCGACTTGCGCAGTCTCTCTCTCTGTCTCTCTTCAAAAATAAATAAATAAACTTAAAAAAAATTACTCTCGCCTTTTAGGGTCATACCTCACTATCACCTTTAGTTACTAAAAATGATATTACCCAGTTTTATCAACTACCATAATCACCATATTTGGCTTCCAATATCCCTTAGCTTTTTCTTAATATTCCCGAGAAACACGAAAACCACAATGGTAGCATTGAAGTGTATGAGCTGTACTGGGCATTGTTCTAAGCACTTTATAAGAATTATTTCGCTTAATTTTCACAAAGCTAAGAACTAAGCACTACTATTATGTTCATTTCACAAATGAGGAAACCGAGGCAAAGAGAGGTAAAGTAACTTACCCAAGGTCACTCAGCTAGTAAGAGGCTGAGCTGGGATTCAAACCCTGGCAATGAACTCCCAAGTTCATGCTCTTAACCACTGTGTTTCAGTATTAAGAGTTTTCAAAAAGAATGTGTTTTAGGCATTTATGAAAATTTCAGAAGAGGTAATACAAAATTGTTTTGAGAATGTCAGCAGAGTTGGAGAAAGCATATGTATCTTTTTGGGAAACCGTTCTAAAGATCCAAAACATATATTTATGGGAAAATCTGATACTTCTGTTTAAAATATTGGGCACATTGTCTTGTATGGCAATGAAAACCTTTAATAGTAAATGGTCTTTTCCAGTATTTTTACCCTTGTACAAGTTCTGGAGAGTTTATACAAAAAGCCCGTCTAAATGCCATTTCAAACTTTTTTATTTTCAAAGAAAAATAATGTGAGCAATCCTTTTAAAGCCTCCTTGAACAGTAAAATTGCAAATGCCTGGCCCTTGGAGAAATATTACAAAGTTGGTGTGTTGATTCTTCCTGCTCTCAGGACTTATTAGGAAAACCAAAACTTTAACTTGCATTCCTTCCCTCCTGTGCATCAAAGACACACACTGCACGCAGCAAACAGAAAAATATGTCTTATCAAATATAAATATGTTAAATGAGACACTCTATTAGTTGTTGATTAGTCAACAACTTCTTTTCTGCACCTACTATGTGAGATGCCTCAGGAGACAGGAGGTAGCAAAGTGTAGATGCCAAGGGCACGGGCTTTGCACTCAAACAGCCTTGCTTTGAGTTGAGCTCCACCACGTACTCTTTATGTCATCTCGGGCAAGTGTCTTAATCTCTTTAGGCGTCGGTTTTTTCACCTGTAAAATGAGGATAATAACATAATTATGTGAAGATGAAATAGGATAATCCACATAAAGCACATAGGTAATCCACATAAACAAACTAGTGCCTAGCACATGGTGAGCACCCATTAAATATTAGTCACTATTAGGAAATTAAAAAAAAACTGGGATAGCGTCTCAAGTCATTTACAATATCATAGATAACAGTAATAGGAAGCAGAATGTTCTATACATCCAAAGAGCAGAACATAAAAAGTGTTCATGGGGCTTTAAAGACCAAATGCCACAAAACAGCTGGAGAGGGGAGGAGGGGATCACAATTGCATTGGACTTGGAGGAAAGAGTAGTAACTCAAAGGCAATCAAAGGACGTGGAAAAGACCTGGAAAGAACAGCAGAAGCAAAGATACAGAGGTGGGAGAGAGCCCTGTGTGGTCAGACTAGTCAGCGTGTAAGGTTTATGAGAAGGAGCTATGAAATACAAAGCTAGAAATGAGGCTGGAGATCCCTGACTTCCAAGTTAGGGAGTCTGGCAGTCGTGGCGTGTATGAAAATATTTTGAATGAGATTTTTAAATGAAAGTTGATGGTTTGCTTTTGTTTTTTAGATTCAGGATCCAAAATCATTTCAATTTAAAAAGCATTTTAAATTCTTGGGGAGTCACCGATCTTTTTGATCCACTCAAAGCTAACTTGAAAGGAATTTCAGGTAACACTTCTTCTTTCAAGCTTTTTGGCATTGTGCTTGGGGGCAGCTTTGTCATACTTTGATTAAGGGATTTTCATCTACAGAGGTTTCAATGGTACAGTCAGAGTTAACATTTTTAAAAGGATAAAGAAAGAGCTTTGCTTTATATAAAAATATGTTGCTTCAGATAACAGTCAAATTTGAGTTGGACTTTGTGGGGGAGGAGTGTTTCTTGAAACCTTTAAGCACCGTTTTGGGAGACCACCTTCAGGGCGAGGTCAATGGCCGTAGAACACAATACAACTCACCCTCCCTCTGCCTATCATGACTAGGAACCTGCCAGAGACAGTGGTTCAACAACAGAGGTCTTCATTCTGACCTCCCACTGTCATGCCAGCCTCACAGTCGCCCTTTGTTCCTCCCTCCTCCCTCTCCCTCCCTCCTTGTATCACTTCTGGCTTCTAATAAGCTAACCTTGAAACTTTCCCTCAACCACCCAACTTCCTTTCTTCAAGTTACTCACGTACCTGTAACCTTGCCCTAAAATGTTCTCCTTCCCAAAGTCCATATTAAATTTATTTGCCCCTAGTGGACATGCTACTACTAATCAATAGGAACTGTATTTGTTTATGATCTGACAGGGAACTTACATCATATATTTAAAAAGAATGGAATGCCAAAACCTTATGTTCCAGAATCCTCTCAGAAACCATTAGATAAACTATTTTTAACTCCAAAGGCTCAGGTTTGTTTCTGCTCTGGATACTAATATCCATTGGCATCTTCATTGACCTTGATGCTTTCTGTGCCCAAAGAGCTTCAGAATCTCCACTTTATTTTTTTTTATTTTTATTTTTTAGAATCTCCACTTAAAATGCTAGAACCTCATAACACAGAGTTTTCTAAAGCATTACTCAAAATCTTCTTTTTTAAGCAATCACACACACACACACACACACACACACACACACACACACAGGAATTTGGTCCACAAAAGCAGTCTTGGCTTGTGCTTTAGATGTGACCAGACTAAATGGCAGTTACTTATCAAATAAAGCACAGGAGGAAGGATCTATTCTAGAGTGTTTAAAACCCACCAGCTGTGTACTCATTACCTAGACATGCAAAGATATAATCAAAGCACTAGTCAAGTTTGGGCACAGTGCCCCCAACAATGCTTGGCACACTGTGGATATCCAATAAATGTTGTTGACTTGGTTGAATGACTCAACCAGAAAATTTCCATGGTGACGCAGGCATAATCTGACACTGTAGGGAATAGAAGAACAGTAGAGTGAAAGGATCAGAGGTCAAGGAAAGAGGAAGGGATTAAGAACTTCAGTATGTTCTATCTGTAATAATGTACAAAATGCAATCACAGTGTCTTCTTGTGACTCCAGACCTCAGCTAGGGCATTCCTGTTGTTGATGATGATACTATTCTTCTTTTGATCATTCTAGTTCAAAACTCTGGGGCCATTTTTACCTTTTCTTCTACAACACTACATTCAGTTAATCACTATGACATTGATTGTTCCTTCATAGCTCTTAATCTCTCTGCCTTTATGTCCTGGAAGTACATCTCAAAGTGCCATTAATCCTGTGTCCTCAAACAGGACTGAGCTTGACCCATATCGTGCAGCTCCCCTACTGGTAAAGATTTTCAAGGCCCATAAGCTCTCCTGACAAGATGTAACAAGCAACCTACTTTAGAAAGAACATTTTTTTTGGTACCTTTTTTATAATGCAATTAAGGTCTATGTATGTTTGTTCAAATCAGCAGAAATATAGGCTCATTGATTTAAGTTGTTAACTACTTATCAAGCAGTTAGCATGTGCCAAGTGTGAAGTTTGAATTCAAATATCTTACATGATAAAACACATCAGCCTTATCTTCTCCCATAAAGTTTTGTTCCTCTAATAAGATGTATCACCAAATAATGACCCATCCCTGTTTTTATAAAGTTTTAATGAAACATAGCCACTCCCATTTTTTTACAGATCATCTATGGCTGTATTCCTGCTACACTGCAGAATTAGGCAGTTGCAACAGACGCCATATGGCCTGCAGTTGCTAAAGTATTTAGTATCTTGACCTTTACGGATAAAGTTTACCAACTAAAGTATTGCTTTCCAATGCCCTTCTTTAAACATAATCAAGAGACTAGTCACTTCTATGCTTAAGTGGGCTGTTGACTTAATTATAGAGACATGGTGACTGACTCTGTCTAACAAATAGTTTCATCACTCCTAAAATGAGGTCGCTACCACCCATCTCATATCTTACTTATGGAAATAAAATTCCTCAACATATCGCAAACTATCAGCAGAGAGTTTGCCAGAAAATAAGTCATCAGAAAATGCTGGTCTCCCTTCTTACAATTAACGAGAAGTTACCAAGTAGTTTTGTACTATTGACAGAAGCTCAAACTACAGGACATTTGACCTTTTCTCTCCATTTGGTTCCAATGCCCAGAATCACTTTACTCAAGTTCTCCTTCCACATTTAAAAGTCACTACTCGCCTATCTCTTCCTTCATGACATCAAATCCTTTTTTGCTGCCTGAAAAAAACTTGTTCAATATCATCTTAAGGCCCAACTGAGCCTAGGCTATCATTTTTCTCCCCAGGCACCCTTGATACTACATGTTATAAAGCTTTTAAGAGTGATTCCAGTTTCACTTACACTAAAGATATCAGCTAGAGATTTACTTCTTGAGTAATCAGAAGGATCAGCAGGCTTTGATACAAACCCATGCTTCCTAATCCAAGAAATACTTCTTTTGCACAAACTTAAACCTTTGAAGAAACTATCTTATTCTTGACTTTTACAAAGGAGTAATTAGGTTCTGAACTCTGTTCGGCAAGAACTACAAGCTCCAAGTTACTACAACTTAAATGAGCAAAGCACACATAGTTGTTTGGTTGCATACTGAAGTTAACTTATGCCACACCAGATGACTGATCAGCACTGCACTAGGTCGGCAAGATTGTCAGATAGATCATTCCCAACTTCAGTTCCCCTCCCAAGAAGGCCACCTAACAACTATCCATAGACAAGTCACCACTGTGAAAATCCCAGCTCCCAGATGTAAGCTGAAGTACCCCTCTGAACCACAGAGACCGAGAAGGACCACATTAGAAAGGTAAGAGGCGCAGCTACACTCGGACTGCATCACCCTTCCTCCAGGCTGACACGGCAGTGCACCAAGAGGGCCCTTCCAGGCCTACTACAGTTTCTCCAGTGAGAAAAGGGAGCCAAGGTGGACACCCAACTCTTCCAGGACACTTTCTAGAAGGTCTATTCACATATTGCCTCCTGGAGATAACTAATAATCAGATAGAGATGGGGCGGGAGGACAAGCCTTACATGAACCAGCCTTCAAACCTTGGCAGACCATGTTCCTGCCTGTAGCAGTACCCAAGCAAAGATCTCAGCTAGCAGCAATTCCCACTTACAAAGCCAGCCTGGTTGCCCCATCTTGCTAGAGAGCTTGGTTGGCAGTCCTGCCTGATTCTACAGTCAGTGGACTATACTACCTAATCAATGGACCGTACTACCACTCTACCTTGAAGAAAAGTGAATTCACAGCCCTGCCCGACACCTAAGCATAATCTCAAGTACCATCCATTGAGGAAGCCTGACCAGAGAACTCAGATAGCTGAGAAGCCCATCCTAAAGCTGTGCTTGGGCAGAGATCCTGGCCAAGCAGCCCTGCCCAACTGTTGAGCATATCCCCTACCCCCAAGTAACCAAAGAGCCTGAAGAAATGACCTTGGGAAGCCTTGCAGCCCAGCCCACAGTGTTACCAAGTCACAGAGCCCAGTCTGCATCCCCACCCATCTTCAGGGCACAGCTGGCAGCCCCACCTGAACATGGAGTCCAGCCGGCAGCACCATCCATTTGGGAATCACAGTGTGAGACTCCACCTGACCAGGAAGGATCGTGGAGCCCATCCCATAACTACCCAGTCATGGTGTCCAACCAGTGGCACTACTCTGTCAGGGAACACAGCCTACAACCCCATTTGACCAGAGTTGATTGCAGGGCTAGTGGCTTAACCTGACAGTGGGTCATAGCCAGAAGCCCCACCAAAACAGGGAGCCAACCCAGCAGACCCACTTGAATACAGAACCCAACCAGCAGTCCCACCCAACCACAGAACCCAGCCAGCAGCACCCCCCTGCAACCTCAGAGCACATGGAAAGGCTTTGCCCAAATAGAGATCCTGCTAGCAAGCCCCACCTACCCACAAATGCTATCAGCTAATTGGTAAAAGTCTTTACTTGCCAAAGCAAACCTGTAAAGCCTGTAAAAGGAGACTACTTACTTAAATGCACAGATACCAATACAAAGAAGCAAGGATCATGAAAAATCAGAAAAATATGACATCATCAAAAGAAATGAATAAAGCTCCAATAACTACCCTAAAGAAATGGAGATGTATGAACTGTCTGGCAAAGAATTCAGATAATCCTCTTAAAACAGTTCAGCAGACTACAAGAACACACAGACAACTAAACAATATTTGGAAAACAATGCATGAACAAAATTAAAAGTTCAAGAAAGAAATAGAAGCCATCAAACAAAACAAAACAAAAAAAATAAACAGAGATCCTAAAGCTGAAGAGTACAATGACTGCACCAAAGAATTCAATAAAGAGCTTCAACAACAGACTCAGCCAAGCAGAGGAAAGAATCAATGAACTAGAAGATAAGTCGTTTGAAATTATCTAGTCAGAAGAGCAAAAAAAAAAAAAAAAAGAATGAAAGACTGAAGAAAGCCTATAGGAATTGGGGACTCCACAGAAAAAAACATATACTCATAATGAGAATTCCAAAAAATGAGGGGTAAAAAAGAGAAACTACTTAAAGCAATAATGGCTGAAAGCTTTCCAAACATGGGGAGATGAAAGGGGGTTCCAGATTCATAATGCCCAAGGAATCCCAATAGGTTGAACCCAAAAAAGGCTACACCAAGACACATTATAATTAAATTGTTGAAAGTCAAAGAACTTTAA